ACAACTTTTCAACATGAAAACAATCAACAAAAAGAGAGCAGAAATGCTCCACAAGTTTGTGAAACCAAAAGTCAATCAAGTATTTATAGACCCAGAGGATAGAACTGAAACTGAAGAAGTCGATGAGGATGAAAGAGTCATATTTGATTGCTATGATATGGACTGCCGATTTGCTGTAAATGGTTTGGCTTCAAAACTCCTGCACTATCACACATTCTCACTTAAGGAAAATTCGGTGTGCAAAAATTGCAACGAATTGGATATTGCTGTATCTGTTCTACCAATCATTTGTGCGAATGAGGCAGTAAAAATTGATTTCAGCAACTTAGTGGCGGCCATTGAAACGAACTTTCCTGAATACAAGTGCGATGTCTGCCAACAATTCAAAGAAGTTCTACGCGAATTTGGGAAGCATGTTTATGTCGAGGTGAGTTGATACTGTCACCATTTATAATTATTACTATTATTTTAACTATTATATTAATCATTACTGTTTCACTCAACATTTCTATTTCTCTAGTTGCCGCATGAAGAAGAAAGCGCATTAAGTAATATTCCACACATTATTACTTTGGGCGGCAACAATTATTCACTACTTGGCGTAATACTGTATGAGCCAGCACTGATCAAAGACATGATTCCACATTATAAGGCAGCCGTGAAAAAATTCAACACTTGGGAAGAATATGATTACATGAAAAAGAGCCCGAGAACCATTTTATGCAGCAAACCAGTCATTATTTCATCATTGCTCTACATAATGACATAATAACCGGATATATTGAAATTCTATCTTTATTTTCCAACGAAAACCCATAAATTTGATTGAAAAAATAGTGAAACTTTATATAGCTATATACGACACAGAAATATTTTATATTTTTCGAAAAAAAAAATAAATACATCAATATTTCTTATATAAAAACATTCCTTCATACAAATGTTCCATTTTTTCTTCGAATTTTCAACTTTATGAAGTCAATGCTCACATCCAGTGATAGCACAAACTCTGAGACTTTGCACAAGGTCAGCACAAACTCAAAATCCCACGAAAATGATCTCAGTACACCAAGATTCATGGCCTGAGATGGAGTCGCCGAACAATTTTTTCAAATTTGACAAAATTTCATTTTCAGTGAGTTAGTGCTCGGAAACAAGAGGTGAAAAAGGGCTTCAAATGTTGCATGCTACCAGCACTAACTCTAAATTTTCCAAAACCAATCTCAGTACACCAAGATTTATGGCCTGAGATATAGTCGCCGAACAATTGGATCAAATTTGACAAAATTTCATTTTCAGTGAGTTAGTGCTCGGAAACAAGAGGTGCAAAAGGGCTTCAAATGTTGCATGCTACCAGCACTAACTCCAAATTTTCCAAAACCAATCTCAGTACACCAAGATTCATGGCCTGAGATGGAGTCGCCGAACAATTGGATCAAATTTGACAAAATTTCATTTTCAGTGAGTTAGTGCTCGCGTGTAGTTGCAGCACAAACTCTGGAAACTTGCATGCAACCAGCACTAACTCCAAATTTTCCAAAACTGGTCTCAGTACATCAAGATTCGTGGCCTGAGATAAAGTCGCCATACAAAATGGCCGTTTTTTCCAAATTTCTGACTTTGGCGAGTTAGTGCTCGCACCCAGTTGCAGCACAAACTCTACAAATTTGGCACAAACCAGCACTAACTCCCCAGATTCCGAATCCGGAATTAGTTTTTCATTTTTCGAACTGGGGGGGGCCAGCCACATGTACCTATAGAGAATGCATTTGAAAATGTTCAAATTGTTAAAAAGAAGAAACGTTAACAACTGGAGGTAATTGAAAGACTATATCCATTTTTAAACAATCCAAAAAATTATATACATTTCAAAGAATCAAATATTACTCAAGAAGATGACTTTTCTTGTGGAGTAATTGCTTTATTTAATTTAATAATGATTGTTAAAGGAATAACATCAAAAAGTTCATTAGACAAATCTTTCACTAAATACGTGCTTTTGTGCTTTGAAAAAATTAAATATATAAGAGAAACATTAAAAAATTTGGTTATAAATCATATAGATAAATAAATAAAGATTAATATATATTAATTAAATAAATTATGGTATAATTTATTATTTTATTTTAGTTTTGGGAACGATAATGTGAACGTGGATTGTACATTAGTTCACATTGAGAATTAAAATAATATTAAATTTTTTTTTTTGAGTTATCTCAAACATGAATTACATGAACATGACATTATTATTGTTTTTGTAATTAGACGTAATTGCTTTATTTCAAATTAGAACTTTGGATAGAAAGAAGAGTTAATTTTCGGTCCAAAAATAAGGCCTAAAGAGTCTTAAAAATTTCTTGGAAAAAAAAACAAATGCCATATTCCATGTATTCTACATTCCATGTAGTGCTAAAAATGAAAAACGGCAGTTCATTGAAAATCAGGTTTTCTATCACTTAGTTCTAATCAGTCTCTTCCAACTGGTTACGATTTTGATTCTCAATGACGTCGTGAAAACTAAATTGAGTGTTTTTGTGCAACAAACCAGCCTCTCGACAGAATTCTTTCACTGGTTTCAAACCTCTGTGTTGACATTTCGACAAAAACATATATTTTGCCAGATAGCCAGTGAAGTTTTCATTTTGACGGCGGTATGTGGTACATGGCTTTGCATATCTCCAGAGACCTTCGATTTGGTTGGTGCATGCACCTGTCTTAGCGTCTTTGAAGCCTTTTGAATGGTTGACAGTCAAGTGAGTGTAGTTGTGATTCTGTAGTTTCCACCTCCGGGATCCACCTACCGGGATAAAATCGGTTAAACCATGCTCACAACCAAATGGATGAAGTGCGCGAACGAATTTTTTGTAAACAATACATTTAGCGAATATATCGATCAGTGCACGGCCGCGGCCATTCAATTACAACTGCATAAGAATTACCTATCGGAGTTGAATTCACGATGCATGCATTTATAACAACATCTGTGCAGAATTGATTGTATATTTTAGCTGTAGTGTGCGAACCGATTTCTGCCTCCAACGACATTTTGCGTACTTCTGAATAGTGCGCCCATTCATGGATGAAAGTCAGAACTTGTTCGAAACTCAAATGCGTTACGTTTAAGAAAAGACTAACTGGAGCGTTAAACATATTATTGTCGGCCTTAATGACTGCAAAAGTCTTCTTTCAATTTATCAGAGAAGTGATATATTGAAGAAAAGTTTTACGTCTAGTCTATAAAAACACGGACATTTTTTTCACCGACAGCATCTTGGATGTATGGATGTATGGATTAGAATGGGGGTTTTGGTCAAGGGCGTAATAATCGTCCAAGACCAGAACCGTCGCGTAGATCAATGATCTTTTGCGAAAACTACCCAAAGATAAAAGTCAAACAGGTTGTACAGATCCAGATTTTATATAAGACACAGGGGGGTAGTGAAAAAGGAAATACGTTCCATTCCCGTTTACCTTTAGATGTCTAGTCATTTGCATTTAAACTGTTCATTCATCTTAATGATGGGAAACGTCCAGTCTGGCGGACGAAAGAGTAAATCTTTCGAACCGGTTGGCTCATTGCTTCATTTGGAGTGAGCATTTCAGCAC